TAGGTAAATCTATGGAAACAAAAAGTAGATTAGCGGTTGTCTAGGGCTAGGGGGAGTTGAGAGGAAACGGGGAATGACTGATAATGGGTATGGAGTTTCTTTATGGGGTGATGAAAATGTTCTAAAATTGATTGGGGTGATGCCTGCACAACTCTTGTGAAAATACTATAAACGACTGAATTATATACTTTAAATGACTGAATTGTGTAGTGTGTTAATGAAATCTCAATAAAGCTATTATATTAAAAAATGCATGTAAGGAGCTGAGCATATTGCCTGGTATGTAGTAAGGACTCAATAGATGGTAACATTTATCACTGTGCCTTTTCCTCTTCCTGATGCCACTTTACCCAGGGCCAGAGTCACCTCTCACACCAACATGGCAGAATGTGTCAGGCTCATCGCAGGGAGCCCACTTCATACTCAGTGGAGGGTCACAGGTAAGGCCTGAAGGCTAATATCCCAGGACTAAGAGTCTTTCTCTAATACTCAGATAGATAAATATATAACTCTTGGAGTAATGAGAAAATAATGGCCTTCATTTACTAAGTACTAACGTGCCAGGTACTGTGCTAGGAACTTTACAACTCTTTTCCTCACAGGAACCGTACTAGGCTGTTATTATTATTATTTCCCTTTAACAAATGAAGAAGCTGGGACTTAGAGAGGTTATGTAGCTTGTTTCAGGTCACAACAGTAGTCAATGACTGAGCCAGTCCGTTCAACTCCAAAGCTTGTAGTCTCTTCTCTATGTGAGTACATGGCCTCACTATTCCTTCCGTTTATTTATCTACATCTTACCCATCCTTTACAACTCAAGCAGCCTGATTTCACTGATGTCCCTTTCCTCTATGTGTTCTAGTAATGTCCAGTCTATATCAAATTAGTTAACATTTTCTTTTTTTTTGGCTGGACATAATTTATTTTTATTATTTTATTGAGGTCATATTGGCTTATAACATTGTGTAATTTAAGGTGTACGTTATTATATTTCAGTTTCTGTATAAACTGCACTGTGTTCACCACCAGTAGTCTAGTTTTTAATCTGTGATCATACATACGTGCCCCTTTATCCCTTTTGCCCTCTCCCCGCCCCATTCTCCTCTGGTAACCACTAATCTGTTCTCTGTATCCACGTATTTGTTTGTTTATCTTCCACATATGAGTAAAATCATACAGTATTTGTCTTTCTCTGTCTGACTTATTTTGCTTAGCATAATACCCTAAAGAAGATGTGGTATATATATATATATAATGGAATACTACTCAGCCATAAAAAAGACAAAATCATGCCATCTGTGACAACATGGATGGACCTTGAGGGTATTAACATTTTCTTTTACATAGTCTTTTGTGTTCTCAGATTGCTTCCTGTGTATACTCTTGAACACAGCAGGTATTTGATAAACAGTTCCTTAGTGAATGGATGTTAAGCTTGTCTCCCCAAGCAGAAAACAGACTCTGGAAGGAACAGACACTGTGTCTTACAGATCTCTTTATCTTTCATACAGAGAGCACCCTCATAGTCATTTAGGCTGGCCTATGGCTGGAAGACCAGATCCCACTTGACAATGGTTCTCACAGACACCATGTCCTCTGCCCATGGACTGGAAGGTTTCTCCTTAAGAACAGGACCCTGCTCATCTCATTATATCTTATCATAGTGAATATGGGAGCTGGCACACAGTAGGAGCTTAGAAAAGGTTTGATGAATTAAAGAGAAGACTGGGTCAGCACTTACTCTATCGAAGACACATCAAGGGCAGCCTTCCCATAGGGACCCCAAGCCTATCTTCTCTCACCCCCATGAAAGGGAAAGGGGCAGAGCAGCAAGGTTGGCCTGGAACTTTAAGAAGACAGGTTGCTGACCATGCCTGTGGCCCCAGATAGTCAGTAGGGCATCCTCTCTGGCTCAGGACCTCTCCTTTGATCAGAGACCCAGGTGGAGCTTTCCAGAACCCATGTCTCACCCTCACACCATCAAATTCAGAGTGCAGCAAACTCTTAGGAATCTGTTACTCTGTTATCTATAGATCCATCAACACTTCATCTGAACCTCCTCTACTTCCCACCTCTCCTAACTCTCAGAGCAGTAACATGCTCACAGGTATCTGGAGTCCCTTTGATTTGTCTTATAATTTCTCTGAGCTCACCCTCTGCTCACTCCCCTGCCCTGACCCCATCCTAACCAAAGCACTATTCTTTCAGCTCCAGGGATCTGCCAGGCACGGCTGGCAACAAGAGAAAGAAGCCTGCCCTCTTTGCCTCTCAGCCAGTTCTGCTCCTTGGTTGGCCAAACTTGGTCCCTCTGTGCTCCCCCTCTCTACACCTGCTTGCCTCTCCTCTGCCTTTTCTTCAAGATGTTAAAAACTCGCAATAAAAAACAAATACAAAACGCTGTAATTAATAGCCAATTTCAAGCCAACCCAGCATCTCTACTAATAAACCTCAACACTTGCAAAAAGAACAATAAATTCTGCCCCTCTCTGGTTCTAAGGTGGTCTCTTTTATATGCTCTGTGTGTATGCGTATGTATGTGGGTAAGTGTGTCTACATATATATTTATTTTCCTTTATTTCCCATCCAGGGAGGGGCAGAATAATGAACTGCGTGCGTCAGGGAAGATGAATCTGAGATACTAGGGAGCAGTGCAGTAAAAAGATTAAAGTGTTATTATTGTTGGTTTTTTTTCCCCCATGGTCCATTGTGACAGCTCGACCGTCATCTGTAAAAAATGTCTCAGCGAGAGATAATCATCGGAAACTCAATAAAGCGTCAGGGGGAGCCTCAGCCCCCATCAATCACTGGGTGCCTGGAAAATTTCAGCCCTCTGTCTCCCTTCCTGCTATCCATATAAATGTCTCTAATATATTTTGTGTGGTGTGTGGGACCCATCCCTGATTTTGAACTTTTGATGAAAAAATATTTATACATAAAATATGTAAATCAGTTAAAAATCACAAGACTAGTTCTTTGCCACCCCATCCCACTTTTTCTTATTTTTATAAAGGCACTGAATTTATTCTTTTTAATAAAACATGTCAACTAGTCTATCTCCCTCTCCTAGTCAAATATATATATAGGTTTGGAGGGCTAAAAGGATGGAAACAATTAACCTAACTGACTGATACACTTAATCTTGAAGTTGGCCAAAAGGCCTGATGGATTGACAGTGCATTGTCCATCCTGGTGACTCTATAGTGGTTGGCACTGCTGAAAAATGATGTGTAGAACCACTGGCCCTGGAGGTGCGACAAGCTCTGACAATGATGAGGAAGGGGCAGGGACATTATTAAAAATAATAACTTGCCCAAACAGCTTTTGGCTTGGCAGATTCCCAAGCCTCCCAAGACTTTGGACAAGCAAGAGGTTCTGAGCTGACTAAGTGTGGGGCACATACAGGCTGATATGCTTGCTAGGTTCTCTACAAGAGCTGCTGGGGACAGTTTTGCTGGCATCTGGCATCATCTCTCTGCCTCAGTTTTCTTCACTGCTTACATCATAGGGTTGCTGTGCGCACACAGTAAGTATCAATAAATGTTATCTGCTGCTGTAGCTATCATCATCTCATCTTACTATCACCTCTCTCGCTTCTCCAACCTGGAAGGAATCAGTTTCTGTAGTACCCTGTCCTCTGGGATCTTCAAGGCTCCTCTCTGTCTAAAGGATAAAGTCCAAGCGTCTTGATTTGGCCCTAGTCTACTAACTGCATCTTTATTGCTCATTACTCTCTAAAATGAATCTTCTGCTGTGTGGATGCATCACCCTAACAAGTTCACTCGCCAGCCTGAAACATGTTTTTTTCTGTTTCCCACCTCTGAATATTTTGGACATAACACACCCCCTTCTCTGCTCCCACCCAATCGCAACCCCCTGCATACCCTCCATAAAAGCTTCTTATACTCTGAGGCTCAAATACCATTTTAATTTCCTGATGCTTCAGCCAGAGATTCTCTTCTGTGAGCTTTGACAGTCTCATCGGCTATTCCTCTGACTGGACCCTTGCCAAATATTGTCTTGGTCATGTCTTCAATTTTTGTTATTATTAAATGCTGCTCTTCCTAGCACCTTACATGTGCATGATGCCTTGTATTTCCTCAAGTGCTTTCATGAGTACTTCAACTTGATCTTTATAATAAGCCTATGGCATAGGAAATAATATTCTCTACAAATGAGAAAAACTGCCCAAGGTCACATAGTTAGGTGACAGCCAAGCCATTCCTCAGACTCTGAATAACGTTTGGCTCTTTGCGGATAATAGTCTGCTACCACTGAAAAGCATTTGGACAGCCGTGTCAAAGATTCTGAATCAAGTTCCTTAACAGTACGATGAGGATAATGATGATGACGTAAAAATAGAAATTTATGTTAATAGAATTCCTTCTATGTTTTAGATTTTAGGCTAGGGATAAATATATTACCTGTAACTCTCCCAATAACGTTTATTTTATCAATAAAAGGACACAGCCTCTAAGAGGTGCAGAAAATTGTTCCCAGTGTCACAGCTCTTAAGTGTTCTGTACACCCATAATACCACAGCTTAAGCACACAGCCTCTCTAGAGCGAAGCTTAAAGTGGCAAAATAACATCTCTTCCAGGGAGGGGAAGGTCCAGATGAGTTTTCTAAAGTATTTCAAGGACAAGGCTGCAACTAACATCTGTAGCCTAGATCATGCTACTCAAAGAGTGGGAGCTTGTTAGAAATGCAAAATCTCGGGTCTCATGCTGGACCTACTGAATCAGAATCTCTGGGGGTGGGGTCTAGGAATCTGCATTTTAACAAGCTCTCTAGGCTATTCGTATGTCCTTGGGAGCCTTATTACTCCCACCTGAGTTTGTGCTCTCCAAGGGCATACATTCTCTCTGCTGTGCCTAGGTAGGGCTGGGCATGCAGTGGGTGCTGGGTGGTTAACTTATACTGAATAGATGACCTAGGATGAGACTACTCCTTGGCACGTCCTAGGGAGGGGGAAAAATATCACAGAGAGCAGTTGCATTACCGCCAGTGGGGACTCCTAGCCATCTCCTGAACTCCAGGGCACTTGTCCACTGGTTTGTGACGCGCCAGCTTGCACCGTCCTGTCCCCCATCTGAAGACACAGAGATGGGGAGGTCAGCTGGAGCAGGCCAGGACCTGTAGCCCCTGGAGTGTGGGAAGGGGGCCACTCAGGATGGTGGGGTTGACCCTGGCAGGTCCAACCTGGCAAGCTAGGCCCTCTACCCCAAGAAGGGCCCTACGCCAACCCAGCTTCTGCACAACTCATCTTTATTCAGCCCCCACTTGGAGCTGAGAAGAGAAGCTGATTTACAGCCTGCTCTGGCCACGTTTCTGCCGTGTTTTATTGTTTTAATTGTACATATGAGAGGCGCTCAGAGTGCTCGCTTGCATTTCTGACAGCCCCAGACACCCAATGTTTATAACAGTTACTTACAAGCAGCCAGCGGCATCCCCGGCTGGGCGACTTGTTTACTGTTACCACTAATTTACTGCCTCCTCCACCTGAGGATTGGGGCCCACCACCCATCAGCCAGCCACAAGTGGAACTCTCCTGGAGTGGGCCTGGGTGGGGCTGAAGGCACTGAATGGAATGTGGTCAAAATCAGGAATAAGTTGGTAAAGAAGCAGCTGTGATCTCCACGCTCTCTCATGTGTCCCCTCGGTGTGCCTTTGCTCAAGCTGTGTCCCCTGCTTAGAATATCTTTTCTTTGTTTCCCTTCCTCTTCAACCTCCAAAGCCCAGCTCAAATCCCACTTCTTCTAAGTACATTACTTGGTCTATGGTGAGCCTAGAATTTCTAGAACCTTAGAAATCACACGACTGACAGGGACCTTGGAGGCCACGTAACCCAATGACCCTTCACAGAACCCCTGATAGGTAGGCAGCCTCTGTCAGTGCCCCTTGAGTGATGACTTGCTCAGGACCTCCAAGGCTGGTTTCCTGCCTTACACTCTGCCAAAATCCAACTTCATAGAGAAACTCTTTGTCAAATGTCACTGTGCTTTATACATGATTATCTCTAGTCATCCTAAAAACTCTTTAAGATGGATATTGTTACCCCTATGTTACAGATGAGAAAACTGAAATTCAAGAACCTTAAGTCACTTGCTCAAGATCACACAGCTGGAAAGTGACAGAGCTTAGATGAACCATGACTTCCTGTCACTGAAGCCTGACCCTTCTCCAGGACACCATTGTACCTCTGAAGATGCCACTCTGAGGGCTAGAGAGAATAAACAGAACAATAAGGTTTCTGTGCCAAGCACCCCTGTGTCACCTGCACCACCCAGAAACACCCACCTTGACAAAAGTAGAAGATACTGCAATGTGTCCAGCTGAGCAAGCTTCTTGCCAAGGAGCAGTGGCCATATGTAAAACAAGAGAAGTGTTTCACTAGGAATTGGGCAACTGATGACAAAGTCTCGGCAAGGAGGGCACTGAAGTTTCTTTCCTCTCTAGGCTATGCCTGTTCTGAGCAGGAAGAACAGATACAGAGCCTCTCTGAGAGAAAACAAGGCAACTTCTCTGATGCCTTTTGGTCTCCTCGCCTGGATCCTCTTTCCTCCTCATACCTTAAATGCTGGGACCCTGTGTGAGAGACTTGTCCTCTCACCCCCTCACTTGAACTTCTTTCCTTGGGCAGTTTCAGTCACATCCATTGTTTTAACCACCAAACAAATGCTGGTGACTCCTAAATCCCTATCTCCTGCCAGACTTTTCCAGACCCACACATCCAACTGTTCACCCAAATCAGAAATTGAGGTGACACCACAGGTGCCTTCTTTTCCATCAATTCCCACATTCCACTGAATATTCAACCTCCTCCTAATATTTCTCTAACATCTATTTTCTCCATTCCCAAAGATCACTTTTAGGAACCCTCAGAAACTATAAGTGCATTTTTGGGGGAGAGGAGCATAGCTTCTCGCCCAGTTCTCAAAGGGGTCCATCATCCCCAAAAGGTCAAGAACCACTGCTAATCTCTCCCCTCCAATTCATGCTCTATCCCACCAGAATGGTCCATCTAAAATGCAAATATAACTTGAGCATTCCTCTGCTTGAAATCCTTTAATGGCCTTCGGAAAACATATGAGCTCCCCAGAATCGCCTTACAAGGTCCTTCTCATGTGGAACCCTGCTTCCCTCTCCAGTCTTACTTCTTGCTATTCTCCTCAGCACTGTAGCAGATGATTCCACCTGCTGTCATCCACACCATGTCTCTGTAAGTGTTCCTTCTGCCTGGAAAGTGCGTCCCTCTTAGCCTGTCTGGCAATCTCTGACTCATCCTTAAGAGCCAATTCAAAGTCACTTACCCTGTGACAATTCCCAGACATTAGCCTGGCCTCAGGTAGAGCTCATCACTACCTACATCAGTGCCACCTACATCCTTTGTACATCCACCTTTGCATTTATCACTGCACTGTGGTGCCTTATTCACAGGTCTGTCTTCTTACTTGATTAAGAGCACTGTTGAGGGGCTAGACCATGTATATTCATTTTTATAGTCCCAGCATCTGGCAGAGTGCCCAACACTAAATGCATGCTGAATTATAAATAAATAAAACTAATAAGTAATAACAACCATAGAGTTCTTTACAATTCACACATCGCCTACTTTATCTCTTGATCTTCATAACGATACTGATAAAATAGAAAAGGGATATATTACTTGTTTAGGGTTTAGGTAGGTCTTGCCAAGGTCACAAACTACAGCTCATCACCTCCCTTCAGTACTGAGCACAGGTTGAGTCCAACAGAAATATTTATTAGAAATTTAGTGAACTTTATGGACTTTGGCACTGACTCTATGCTCCAATCATGAAGGACTGTCCAACCTTCCTGAGCCTGTGACTTTCCTGTGAATTTGCCTAGACACACTTTAGGCAAGGGGCACCTCTTAATTCTACTTAACCACCTCACACACCCCACCGATCAGCAAACTTCCTGTGAAAAAGTCAGTCCAATCCAAAGAAAAGAGAACCACAGGATTCTCTTGTTTCTGTCTACTCCATCAATGAAAATGACCCAGCGCAGGGCACAGTGCCTTGCCTAAAGTGGGCAATCAACAAACATTGGTTGAATGGATGAAAGAATGAGGTATCTTTAAATGGACAAAGGAAAGAAAAATATGTTTAAGAAGGAGCTAAAGGTTTAGGTTGGTAAGAAGAGGAGAGCCCGGAGATGATTCTAAATGACTGTCACTCTCCAGGCTCAGAGTCAGAAAGCAGAGTGCATGAAGTCAGAGAGCAGAGCACATCCAAACTGACGCACCAGGGAAAATCAGATGAGCTGCCAGAAAACTGTGGCCAGTAAAGGTAGTCAAACTAAAAAAACAAGAAAAAGGTGCAGAGAGAGGTAGATCTCACAAGCTACAGAGCAGTGAGTTTACAATGATTGCTGACAAAATGCTAGAATGTATTTTTTTAATGGTTCTTAAACACTTAGGTGATTACTGGGCACCAGTATGGGTTCCCTAAGAACAAGACATGATCATGTCAGAATAACCTAATATCCTTTCGGGAAAGAGTAATTGTGCAAGAAAATAAGACAAATGCTAAACACGTTTTTATTTTAGCAAGAAATCTGAGGGGCCGGCCCGGTGGCGCAAGCGGTTAAGTGTGTGCACTCCGCTGTGGCAGCCCGGGGTTCGCCGGTTCGGATCCCAGGCGCGCACTGACGCACTGCTTGGGAAGCAATGCTGTGGCGGCGTCCCATATAAAGTGGAGGAAGATGGGCATGGATGTTAGCCCATGGCCACTCTTCCTCAGCAAAAAGAGGAGGATTGGCAGATGTTAGCTCAGGGCCGATCGCCCTCACAAAAAAACAAAAAAAAATAAAGAAATCTGAGAAAATTTCTTAAAATTTTGTGGACAAGATGGAGAAACAGAGGCTATACAAGAATGAAGTTTGGTGGATTCACAGTTGTGAATGTTGAAAAATGCTTCAAAATTGTCCTGATCATGTGCTCCAGGGCTCTGTACTTTATAATAGAGTCCTTATAAACATGGAAATCAAAGACTGGCACATAAAGTACATGATGGCAGGGATCCTGTCTGTCTAACTCCCCAGTGCCTCAAACAGTGCCTGCTAGATAAGAAAGTGATCAATAAATTTTTTAAAAATTACTTTTAATAAATAAATGAATCCATAGACAGCCTATTCCCTAAATTTGTAGGTCATACAAAATAAGAAGAGACACTTAATATTTTTATCTTTATTTCAAGAGGGACACAATAGCCTTTTCCAATATTTTTGTTGTCTATCTGTCTGTCTGTCAGTTGTCACACTGTGGTAGCTGTGTGTTGCTGTAACGCTGAAAGCTATGCCACTGGTATTTCAAATACCAGCAGGGTAACCTAATGGTGGACAGGTTTCAGCAGAGCTTCCAGACTGACAGACTAGGAAGAAGGACCTGGCCACCCACTTCTGAAAAAACTGGCCATGAAAACCCTATGAATAGCAGCGGAGCATTGTCCAATATAACACTGGAAGGTGAAAAGATGGTGCAAAAAGACTGGGCAGGGTTCTGCTCTGCTGTACACAGGGTTGCTAGGACTCGGAATTGACTTGATAGCCTTAACAAATCTATCTACCTACCTATTTAGAATGTAGGCTAGCTAACGTAAGAGTTAAAAAAATTCAGAGGAGGTTGACAAATAAAGGATAAGAAAAGAGAGAGCAAGGAAGGGAAGAAGGGAGGGAGAGAGGGAGAAAAAAGAAAATAGCTAGAACAGGGTTGGCAAACTACAGCCTATGGGCCAAATCCAGCCTGCTGCCTATTTTTGTAAATAAAGTTTTATTGGAACACATCCATGCACATTCGTTTGTATTGTTTATGGCTGCTTCTGCACTACAATGGCCAAGCTGAGTAGTCACAACTGAGACCAACTGGCCCACAAAGCTTAAAATGTTTACTATCTGGCTCTTACCAGAAAAAGTTTGCTGACCATTGATCTAGAATGTTGAAAATGACCACAACCTGGAGAGAACTATTAGAACACAAAGGTACAAAACATGAATGTAGGGGGTGGGGACTGGTGTGACAGCACAGGTTGGACTAGATGGCTTCACAGCACTGAGATTCTATGAAATCAAAAATGCTTACTGAGCCCTGCTAGGATCCTAAGAGCAGATGAGAAGGCACTCAAATGATCCCTTCCCTCCTCCCTGGCCCTGCCCTCTCAGCAAATGCCCCTCCCTGCATTTTGGTGAGAGCAGCTGAACAGAAGACAGAACTGAGGGTGGGAATGCTGTGTCTGAGTAAGGAGAGGACAGCCCACAAGCTGAGTCCCCACACATCAGGCTGCAAATACAGGGCAAGTTTTGGACTCATGAAATTCTCCTCTGTTTGAAACATAAAGGGAACATAATTCCTTTAGCTCAGTGGGGAATCCAAGGAGGCAGAGGTCATGGCCTGCCCATGGAACTGTCAGCTGAGGAGGAGAGAAAAGACATACGGGCAGAGGAAAGTTCAAATAACCACATAAAAGGCCAAGATTTAGAGAACATTCAAAAGAGCAGCTGAGGGGAGGTTGCAATGATTGCCAAGGACAGGGAAGGCTTTGTGGAGGATCTACCTATAGCAATGGAGCTTGACAGAAGGAGCAGGTTTAGAGAGGTGGAGAGGCAGGGGAGGGCAACTTCACACTTCACCTGAGCAGCAATGCTCTGATGCTCTTGACATTCCCCTCCTGCTGCTGGTCAGAGAAACCCTGCTCTGGGTGACCACACCCACGTCCATGTGGCAGCCTGACAGCTCTGAGGGCTGAGCACACTGCTCCCCTCAGCTGAATCTCCTTCAGGTCACTGTTCTGACTCTCAGGCAGTCAGCAAGCCTGTCTGTCCTCCTGGCATCACTGCCAACCCTAAAGCAGCCACTGCTCAGCTGCCCTGTTGCTGGAAACTGGCGGGATCTCAGCCTCTGCGAGTGATCCAGGATAACGGGCAGGCAGCGGGGCCAATCCGGACAAGCAAAAGCTCAAATGTAAAATACTCATTTCTGTCTGCAGTCAAAGCAACCTGCTCTCTTCTCAACCCCAATTTCGAAGAACTACTCACCAGAGGCGACATGGACTAACTTGCCCAGGTACCCTCCACAGACATGTGACCGAGCCCTGGAACAGGTGCACATTGCCTTTTTCTTCTGGAAAAGTCCAAGCAACCCCCCACACAATAGCCTGGGGAGGCACTGATGACCACCCCATTTTACAAGCACAGACATCAAGGCATAGAGAAGGTGCACTATCTGTCCTGGGTCATACAGTAAGTTAAGGGGCCAGGCCCAGAGACAGGATCATATTTTATATATAGGAGGTGGAAAAAACAGTACTCAGAGCAGTGTTGAGGGACTTCTGAGGCTGAGGAAACCAGTGAGGCTGCTTTTTAGCTCTGGGGCAGGGATGGGACAGGGTAAGTCTGCAGGGAGTAGAGGAAGAACAAATCCACATTCCATGCAGTTGCCTTAATTATTTTACGGAAACCTGCTCCACTGTCCACTCATCTGAGGCTCCACAGGCTGAGGCACTTTCAGGAGAACACCAGCTGAAAGGGTCTCCCACTCCTGCCCCAGGTCATGAAATCAGTCCTCTATTTTATTCCCCAAGACTTTTGAGGTGACATAAATTAGAGAGCCAGAGGGGACGGTGAAGGGCATCTGTTTCAAGCCCTTTGGGTTATCCATGAATTCCCAGAGGATAAGGGACTTGCAAGTTCTCACTGAGTTGCTGGTAGAGCTGGTACAGAGCAAGGCTGCCTGGAAGCCACAGGGAGGAGAGCTCTCAGAACAGCAGGGTAGCCCACGCTTACCTTCCAAAGAATGGATTCCCTGCTCCTTGGCAGTCTTGTAAACACTGCTGAAATCGTCCCCAAGGTTTGGGTCAGCACCTGCAGCAAGCAGGACCTGCACCACACTGGAAGAAATCAGACAGACAAAAGCGTCAAAGCAGGAAGGGCCCAGGAAGTAGAGACCCAGATTCTGAAGCATGTCTGAGGACTGGATCCGCCTCTGCTCATGTGAGTGGTACCGTGGAAAGAACACGAACCCTGCAAGTGCCCAAGACAAGTAGGAGTAGGAAAGCTGGCTCTGAATCTCACTGGCTGAGGGGCTCTAGACAAGTTATTTAACACCTCTCTAAGGCTTGGTTTCCACAACTATAAAATACGAAGTGTTCAGTCAACAATTACTTACCAAATGCTTACTATGTTCTAGTCACTATTGGCGGTGCTAGGGTCCGTGCCCTCATGGAGCTTATAGCCTTCGGGGAAGGACAACAATTTACCATAAAATTACAGCAAAGTGTGATAAAGGCTATAATGGAGAAGTACCATGTGTGGTGGGAAAGCAAGGGAGGGGAGCAAGGAAGACCTCCCAGGGACGTGGTTATTTAAGGTACTGAAGACTTGAAGGCTGAGCAGCCAGATCTGGGATGGTAAAGTGGGAGGACTCAATGCATTTACAAATCCTGGAGGCGAAGGAGCACAGGGCTTCAGCTAAAGAAAGCAGAGTTGGAGCAGAGAGTGGAAGGGGAAGAACAGTGGGAGATGAGGTAAGCCCCTGAAGGCTTTAAAGGAGAAATGACATGACAACATAGGCTTTTCCTCCCCACTTCAAGACAGACATACTTAAAAAATATGCAAACCATACTGAAATATTAAATTAAAAAATGAACGTCTTCCCTTATATCCATTCACTTAATCTAAATTCCAAGAGCAACTACTCTTTATAGTTTGACATGTTTCCTTCCAAACCTCTGCTATTAGAAGAATCACTCCAGTGGCTGTGTGAGAATGGACTGGAGGGAGCAGGACCAGAAGTAGGGGCCTCCACAGGGTTGCTATGAGGTTGAATTAGGTAAATTTATAAAGCACTGAGCACAGGGCTCAGGAAGTGCTCCCTATATGTTAGCTTCCCTTCTATTTACATAAAGTTCCTGCTAATGCTCTCTCTTTTTTTCTAATAAAAAAAGGCTTGTGTTTACTATAAAAAATTCAGCAAATATAGATAATCAAAAAAAAAGAAAATGTTTTCGAGTATATAACATCTTTCCAGTTTTTCAATGTATGCATATTTTTATTTACAAAATGGGATCATAAACTTTTTCTAACACATACACACACCCATGTATTAAATATTTGTATGCCACATTGTTTTTCATAACTGCACAGTATTTCACAAGACTATTCTATACTTTATTTGCCAATCCTCTATTATAAAACAATTAGATTACTTTTAATATTTCAATAACACATCTCTGATTATTTCCTTTGGATAAATTCCTAGGAGATAAAGTTCTAGGTCAAAAGTATAAGCATTTTTAAGGGTTTTGATAAATATTACTAAGTTGTCTTTCAGAAAGATTGTACCAATTTTCATTTTTACTAGCAAAGGAAGAAGGATGAGAGTAACTGTTGTGCCTTCCTTTTACCACGCTGGGGTTTTTTTTTTTTCTTTTTCATAATGTGTTAATCTGGTAAATAGAAAATGGAATCACGTTGCTGTTTCTACTTGCATTTCTTTGATTACTAGTAAGGTTGGACTTTCAAAAAAATATGTTTAAGTTAGTTGTGTTTCTTTTTTCATGAATCACAATAGTCAACTGTGTTTTATTTTCATGAATAATGTCTTTTGCTCATTTTTCTCTTAGTATTTTAATCTTTTGCTCACTGGCCTTCAAAACTGTTAATGCTTCTGAAGGCATAAATGGCAAGCATTTCAAAAAATTACTCTAATTATCATAACTATTAAAAAGCCAAACTATACTTTTAGTTTTTCTCTTCTTTGTTAGTTTTTCAATATCTGTAACCAGCAGTGTTGATGGTTTTCCCTATACCAACTGGTTTGGATTTCATTACCTTCAACAGGCACAGGACGTAGCTCAATTATTTGCTGCACGGATGAAGGAATTTCAATATCTCCCACGCACACACACACACAGTCCTCACAGGCAAGTCAAAGGACAGAATCCATCTGCACGTGGCTGAGGCTCTTCTATATCTGATCTAACATGGTCAGGCGAGTCTCCTGTGTCTACTCACCTTACCTAGAAGGATCTTAAGAATTACCTTTCACAAGTAATTTACCCAGGATATGGATTAAGATCCCAAAGAGAAATGAAAAGGGTCTCTAAGCAGCTAAAATCCATGTCTAAAACTCAGATATTTAATTCACAGAAGAATCTGCCAGGTTCTCACTTGGAGACTATTTGCTCTTAGTTTACACATAATTTGGATAAGACTGGCATTAGTCTTCCTGTTTCCCAGATTAAAAGCCAAGAGGGTACAAAAAGCCTGTTACAGACAGGCGAACTAACTGAAGGCAGTGAGAAAAAAATATCTGACAGAGAGGTAGTGTGGTACAGAGGTTAAGAACATTGGCTTTAAAATCTGGGACAATCTGGGCATCAACGTGAATAATGAGAGCAATGGATTATAACCCATTGAGTAAAATAAGATTCCATGAGTTCATATTGAAAATAAATTAATAAGTCAACGAGGGAGAAGGGAAAGCTCTTCCTTACCGTAGAATGACAACCAATAAATGTAGAAGGAATGATGAAATTAGAACATCATAATTTTGCAATCTCATAATTATCAGGGAAAATAAGAGTATCTATCTAGCTCATATGGCTATGTTAACGTATGCAAAGTGCTTAGAACAGTGCCTGACATGTAAGTGCTCAACAAAAGTTCATTATTATCACTATGTACCTGACCCTTCGGTTGGGCTGTGGGGAAGTCAAGGGAAGTACAGTCACGCGCCGCATACTGACGTTTCGGTCAATGACAGACTGCATTTACGACAGTGGTCCCATAAGATTAGCACCACATAGCCTAGGTGTGTAGTAGGCTATATCATATACGACTAGGCTATGATGTTTGCACAATGACAAAACTGCCTAATAACGCATTTCTCAGAATGTATCTCTGTTGTTAAGCGATGCATGACTGTATGAACTAAGACACAAATCGGGAAGATGGCATGACACTTTATAACAAGCACAGAGAGACCTAGGTTCAAATCAAAGCTCTATCATTTACTGACCATGATCTTGGACAAGTTACTACACTTCCGAGACTCCATTTCCTTACCAGAATAATGGAGATAATGATGTCTCCCCTGTAGGTTATATGAAATAAGTAAGTAAAACTCCATAGTGCCTGCCACATAGAAGGAGCTCCACAAATACGAGCTCTCTTCCCTTTGTCCATGTAATCTTAGTGATAGGAACATGAATCTGGGCAGAAGTGGGCACCAGATCTATACCTGACCACCTCCAGGAATCATGCTGGAACAGCCCTGTGTTAACAAGGCAGGTCTTCTATACTCTGCACAATTTGGCTTGTTTCAAAATCCAAATGAGAAGGGTTTGTCGATCTAAACTCAAAGGGACATAATTTGGTTAATCCTCAGCTGCTATGTCCAATCACCATTCAATCACACCCCCTCCCATGGCAGGCTGTCCCTCCAGGCAGCTAGTGTCACTAACTGTGCTACCTGGCCCTCTCCAGGTTCATGAGTATTGATTCCGTCTGTCCAATTTGCAGGCTGCGAGACGTGTCCAAGCAACCAAGTATGCTGCCCTTGGCCCCAGAGGGCAGACAGTGGTCTGGCAGGATGGGGAGAGGAGAGTGACTAGGCTTGGCCCTGGGGCGGCTAACCCAATCAAAGGGAATGGGCAATTCACTTCACAAACTTGGAGGCCAAAGCGGGTAAGCATCCAAGCTAGTGACTCATTCTGCAACCTCAGAGAAGATTCCCTTCACTTTCAATAAAACTCAAAAGGCAGCAGCCCCACTGTGGGATATAGCTAGGACTAAAGGAACCGTGGCTGCCTGGTAGCCAAGAGCGGCACCAAACACCTTGCCAGATGGCTAGTAGGCTTTTTGTCCAACAGCCATCAGGTACTTATACAGCATCTAACCCAGAGCTCCATAAGAATCAGGCCCTCCTTGGAGGAACCAGCCCAGATCAGGCTAGAGGGCTACATAAGTATGGTTAGCTTTGGTGACCAGAAAGAACTTCATGGACCTGTGGGCTGCAGCAGGGCAGAAACAGGGTAGGGGGCTGGCCAGGTTAGAGAAAGCTAAGGCAACGCTGGTGAGAACAGGCTTAGCAGTAGGCCAGGCCCAGGGAGTACGAAGAAGTTCACAGTCAAAACAGAACCAAGGGCCAGAGACCAGGCAGCAGAGATGTGAGGCAGAGGGTCAAAAGCCAGGTCAATCTCAAGGACTAGAGGCTGAGGGAGAACAGTAGATCACAAACCAAGTAAGCAACCAGAAACCAAGGAACACACTGGTACCCGAGTTCAAGGCAAAGCAAAAGAAGCAGAAACCAGGAGCAGCAGTGAGGAAACTTTGGAAATGAAGTGATTTCTGTCTCTGACATTTTTTGCTGAAGCAGAAACAAATCCCCAAATTCAGAACTGTATTTGGGAGAAGTTGACTCACGGAGAGACGGTGATTTAGCACACCTGGCTGACAAGCGGAGTTGAGGGTCAGCAGTAAAACCAGAATCTGAGGGCACAAAGGGAGGCAGGCACTGCTATCTGAGGAGATCCACCAAAGGATGACTGATGCCTCCCCTCTGTTCTGGGGCTGGTATGCTAGCCGCCATTTCAGAGGTTTGGGTTTAGTGTTACTGCCTTAAATTTGAGTAGCTGGTGCCTGGGCTGTGGTGTACGGGCTAGGCCTTCATGGTCCTAACAGCTGGATTAAAGGGGGCAAAGTACACCATTCCACTCACTTATGTTTTCCTACAACAGGAAACATCCCCACTCAAAGGAACAACACTGATGACTCCACAGGTTCTCACTGGGCAAAGACTTAAGAATATCAGCAATTCTCCGAGCCAGCTAAGGATTTGCCCTCTGGTGGTCTGGGGAAAGATACGCCTACCAATGCCAATATCAAC